TATATATAGACTCTGAATAAATCTGGTGGTGAAGATTCTTTTGGTAGTGATCTATAAGAAGTTTCTGCAAACAGCACTAAATCATAACTTAGCAGTAGAACATTGCAAAAAGGTCAAACCACGACCTAATTATAGTCCTGAACTTTCTTGCCTTGTACATAATACATGACAGGAAACAATAAAATAATGGTTGGAGATGGTCCTTATAATTATGTATTAAACTTTGCACATGTCGCTGTATACTACATTTCCTTCCTCCGCTGCATGTGTTCATACAAGGGAGGTTGAACACGATGATTGTAAGAAAACACCATCACCCCCTATAAAGTATTAGGGAGTGGGATTGCTAGGTGGTCTGATCTTAGATTTGCTTGACAAGTGCGTTAGAGCAAATGTTGAATCTGATGTATTAACTATTTGTTCTCTTTGTGCAATGAAGGTATCTCCATGAGGTCTGCGAGCCACCTATTATTCACAGAAACTTTAAGTCTGTCAATCTTCTCCTTGATGATGAGTTGGCTGTGCATGTCTCTGATTGTGGTTTAGCTTCACTGATATCATCAGGTGCTGTAAGTCAGGTAACCTTTCCATCCTAAGATTAATTCTGTATTACAAGTGTGGAACAAATTGGAACATTTGCCTTGGGGGAAATCAAATACCAGGTTTATGCTGGAAGTGAAGATGTGAGCTGAATATACAGTTAAGAAAGGAGTATAATGATTATTAAAGTGCTTTAAATAGACAGTGGAGTAGAGCTGTAAGAACTATGACTGATGTAAATGGATGAAATCATTGTTTAGAAATAGTTGATTCTGAAACCTGACCTTTTCTTATTTTTTTATGCATTATGTCCTTAAAAAATTTGAAAATAGTATACATGATGTTGTACTTATTTTCAGCTGTCAGGACAACTTCTTACGACCTACGGCTATGGTGCCCCAGAATTTGAGTCAGGGATTTACACTTCTAAGAGTGATGTTTATAGTTTTGGCGTGGTGATGCTGGAACTCTTAACAGGCAGAATGTCATATGACAGGTAAAGCCATTTGCACCCCAATGAGTAAATTTTGTTGCATCTTTTTCTCCCAGCTATTCATTACATATATACCATGTTCAGAACTCGAAGTCGAGGAGAGCAATTCTTGGTAAGATGGGCAATCCCTCAGCTACATGATATTGATGCCTTGACGAGGATGGTTGATCCTTCACTCAAGGGAAAGTACCCACTTAAGTCATTATCACATTTTGCTGACATAATATCCCGCTGTGTTCAGGTGAGTTCCTTTTATTCTTTCTCTGACCACTAAAACCAGTCCGTTTTCTTCTGGGCATTGATCGATATCTGAATGGGTCACATAGTCAGGCTGTCCATTCTCTCAATATTTATACAAGTATTTACGCATAAATTCTTTTTTTTACAAGCAAGTAATTTATCCAAATCTGAACTATTTCATTCCTTCATCAAACTTTGGGTACAAACAAGGAAAATTGTAACATGTAAAATCATTTATTTCTTGTCAATGGAAAAAAGGAACTGTACTACGTCAAAATAGGAGTTATAGATTTACCAGGTTTTAGGCATAGTTAAAGTAGCAAGGACAATAAGCAGAAACTTCCCATCTTTCTAAAAAGATTGATGTTTCGAAATCGTTTTCTGCCCAGGTGTCTGAATGTCTCTTCATGACCCGGTGAAGAGTGTGGGTTTGTTGTAGTAGGAAACAAACAACACTTGAAAAGTCTGAATCAACTAGTGATTTACTGACGATACCACATTCACCAAATTAAAGCTTGTAGATGCAACAGATATATTACCTTTGCCTTCCAAGGATGACTAAGATTTAGCTGTTGTATAGGCTTTGCCTTCACATATCGCTTTTAACTATCTTTGATACTTTGTTGCAGCCCGACCAAGAATTCCGGCCACCAATGTCAGAAGTTGTTCAAGACCTCATACAAATGATTAGAAGAGAATCTCCTAGTAGATCCGATGAAGAATGACTTGAACTAGACATGCACTCTATAGCAGATTCAGCCGCGGAGTGACCAAAAGTTCAAGATTTTTTACTTCGTAAGAAATTTAACTCGAGCTGAAATACTTGACCCAAGATTTTGAGGCCGCTGTAGATGCAGTACCCTGCTACCAGAACTTCATACCTCTGAGACAAAAGGCAGGCTAGAACAGTGTGATTTCAAACCAGCACGGCTCGGTTATCCTGATTCTTTGTACAATTTTTTTGCAATCATTCTAATGTTCATTTAGGCTAAACAGAAGCCACAATGCATAAAAATGCACTAACCCCATTGTTTAAGAGCTTATTTATATGGTTGTTAATTGGTACATCTGAAGTTGTAAATCGTTATTTGTTCTGCTGTACATTTTCATTTGTTTGTACAAGAATATTCTTCACTCTTTCAACATGGACTTGCTGTACCACTTTATTTCCCAGTATTCAATTGTGCAATGATGGTTATGGTCAATGGATAATCACTTTAAGGTTGTTGTAATTTTACAATTTCTCCAAACATTGTGTTAATTCTTATATTTAATACTCCAGCAGGTTAAACTACAGAGAGTATATGAGATTACCAATTAGGCCGGATTTATAATTAAAAGCATGTAGTATTTAATTCTTTATGAAAAAAGATGCTTTCCCGTGAATAAAGTTAGAATTATTCTTTCCCCTTTTCTTTATAAATTTCAGAGCTAAAATTAGGCAACGGGATCCGGTGGTGACACATTCATTATCTTTGTCTCGGAAATATATTTAGTTGAATTCATTGATTTTACTTTTTGTCCATATAAATTACTCCATAATCTATAATATTCTTAAGGTTTTTGTATAGTCTAAAACATGACATTTAATAACATCAACTACAACTAGTATTAGTACCCGCGCGATGCGCGAAGAATTAAAAAAACACAATCTACATTGTATATTTTAATTTGTTAGTGTTGATATCATCTTTACAAACAAACATTAAATATATTTTGAGACGCTAGTAAAACTTTTATTCCGCCGCCCTAATAGATATTCCATAAAAAATAATGATACTATACAATTTGCTTGATATGAATGTTTCATAATGAATAATGATGTTATCCAATTTGCTTGATATGAAGCATGTGAGCAACATCAGTTTAATGATCTCTTTAATTTTTCATCTTCTATATGGCCTTGATTAATTTTCTTAAATATGTTAGTATATTTTTAGCATGTCTTGGACTTTAAGTTTATTACTTAATATACTATACTTTAACTTTAGTTCATCATTGTATGCTCATTGTCTAGAATACACACGCATAGGTAAAAAAAAGTGAGAAAAAAATTAAAAACGTATGAAATACTGCAAAAAAAAAAAATCTCAGTTCTCATAAGCATTCGAGATATATGAGTAATTAACTAAATGCCAGTATGTTACTATTCTCAAGGAGTTAATGAGATAAATTTCAGCTTCCTTCAATTATCCACATTTAAAATACATATCAATGAGTGCAAATTCACTTTGCAATTATGGGTCAACCTTCCCTATTTTGTAGCCGTTATGTTGTCAATGCAGTTGTATTAACTAACATGTTTGATATTATCACATTTTTTTGTATCCTCATTTTATTGACACTAATACTTAAAAGACGCCCTCTTCTACTTCGATTGGGGAATTGTATATGAACAATAATCAGTTTAGGTAAGTTATATATGCACAATTATAGTGAAAACGATTACCTGTTTGGAACTGACCATTCGTTATATCACGCAAAGTAGGATTGATTTTCTTCATTTTCGATTCTACTTCATCTGCCATTTGTGGGATCAACACCTTGTAGAAGAAATAGTAAAAGATAAAACAATTACCGAATAGTTCATTCTTATGAACATCAAGTTGATTTATCAAATGCTCATAAGGTTTAAAGTTGATGATTCAAACTAAACTGCAGAACATTGATTTCAGCCACATCCGTCCTACGAGAAAACGTCAGTTTCAATTTATGCTTGTTGATCTTAAATTTCATATTGTTTGGTGCAACTACAAAATTCTTCGTAACAAATAATCTCATTTCATGTATTTTTGTTTTAAAGATACGTATAACAGACCGTCCAACAGTTGCATAAATCCGATCTCCAAGAGAAATTTAAGTTAGTAGGAGGTCATGTTATATAAAGATTATGCATTATTTTGTTTGTAAAAACCCACAACATACTAATGCATCAATAGGCATGAGTAAACTATCGCTAATAGTCATATTAAACTAGATGGCACATTGTATTACTAAACATACATCAACACCCAAATAAATTTTTTATCTTGGCAGCATGGACAAAATTTGATCATAACTCTCTGACTAATGGCTTAGCCGTTTGAATTGAAAATCTGCCAAGAAGAAAAAATTCTTTTCTGTTATGCTTTAAGCGTAAAAGCTGTACAAACTAACATAAGAAAACAATATTAATACCAAACTATAAAAGTAAAAACTCACGAAATCAACAAATTTTATTGAATATGCAAAGAAATACAAATAAACTTGTCTGTAAATTAAAATCTTGAGTTAATCACATATGCAGATTTCTTACATAAAATCATAAAGGAAAATAGATTTTCAATGACAAATTTATATTGCCTAACACCAGTTCAAATTGTAAATGAAACCATAATAAATATCTATCTAGACCCTAACAAAACCGTAATTAAAGCGGATTGAATGTACGCATAAGTTGAAGAAAATACAAAACTACGCATAAGTTGAAGAAACTACAAAACAACTCGAATATCTACATTACATGGTAATTGAAAAGATTAATAGCACTTAAAAATATATGCACTTTTTCATCCTGAATAAATAATTCAAGGGGCTGTAATTTATCACGATATGGAACGTGCCATATCTAACAACTCCAGCCCATTTTGATACTCGATATTTCACTAATATAGTTAATGGTTGCAACCAGATTTTGTAGTTTCTAATTGATTGTAGGTTTGTTTATAATGAATTGTATGTAAGGTATTTTGTAGTAGGTCATATGATTAATATATTAAAAACTATAAGCAGCAAAACCCTAATTAAAAGAGATTCTTAATAGTATTTCCTTATATAGATTAGTGTCAGCTCCAATATGCAATATATAAAAAATTAATTATTAAGTAGATACACAATTTTGGAGGTTTTACAAAAGAAAAAAAATATTTAATACTAATTTCTTAGATAAATGAGCGACATCTCTAATATACAATTCATTAAAAAAAATTAATTATTAGGTAGATATACAAATCTGGAGAATGTTCAAAAGAAAAAAGTATTAATATTATTGTAAGCACGTGATTTTTGCCCAATGAAAGAATTACTCCCAAAAAAATTCAAAATAAAACGATTTTCCTTGGTGTGCAATTTTGAGAATTTTTGTGTTATTTTTCTTGTATTGTTTGCATTTGTCCGCGCATGTTTATTTTATAAATTAATAAAAAATATAAAAAATACGTCGTATTTGCGTTTAGGATTTAAGTTTACAATTGTTAGTAATTAAGTTTGTTTTACAAAAATAGGCATCTTTTGCATTTTTAGCATTTAATGTCCAATTGTACAATTTTATGCTTAATTATTACTTAATTGTGTGTTAATTGTTATTGGGAGTTAATTTGCGCTTTTATAAATTAATTTAGTTCTAAATGATAATTTAAGGATTTTTAGAATTTAGTTTTAGAAAAATAAAAGAAGAAAAGAGAGCAAAAATATAAAGAAAATCGGAATTGGGCATCTTCTTCAATTTCAAACCACAGGCTCAAAAAATACCCAACCTTCCCCATGACCCGGTCCATCTCAACACGGGTCGACCCGGTCCGCCCCATAACCCCTCTTCATTTTTCATTTTTTCCAAAAAAACAAAACAAAAAAACCCCAAACCCTAAAAACTAACCCATCCGCCCCCTCTCTTTCTCTTTCTCCTTCACCATCCCAAACACCCCAAAAACCCCAAGCAGCCATGGCTGCTGCCCTTTCCCCCTCATGCCTCACCCTCAACACACACACGCACGTCGTCGGACCACCTAAGTCAACCCCCTTACCGCCGGACAGAACCCCAAACGACCACAGTCCTTCAACACCAAGCTCCACCACGAAACATGTCGTCGTCCGCTGTTTCATCTTCTTCAGTCGTTTCCCAGCAGCTCTATCACGTCCAAACAAATCCCATGGCTGCTGGTCGATGCCCCTAGCGCCTCGCTTCTGCTACTTCTTCGTCGAACAACGACCAGCCACAAACGACCACCCTTCACCGGTCATTCGTTGATGCTGCCACTGCTTCATCCGCCATGAACTACTGCCCTCCACCACTCAGCTCCCTCTCCTCACACCCAGCGTCGAATCAGCAACACCATACCAGGCGACCACCCAGTCGCCACCCTCACGTCCATACATGACCAAACAAACCAGCCACCTCCCCTCCTTCTCTTCTCCGCGAGCACCAAGTTAACCCATGGCTGTTACTTCCTCGTCGATCTCCGGCAGACCCAAACGTCTCACCTTCCATGATGCCTCATCGAGCATTTGGTTCAACGACGAGACTCAACTATCCGTTTTCAGTCCAGTCCAACAACGAGACTCAACCATCTCGTTTGTTCAAGCTTTGGTCGGGGTTTGTCGAAGCAGTTCATACACAGTCGAGGTCGTCGAGTTGCAGCGGGTCGAGGTTGCCGTTCAAACCAGTCCCTTTAATATGGTAGGATTCCGACCAATTTTTGTGTTGTTGTTAGCTTTCGTTCATTTTCTGTTCAATTCTCGTTCCGGGTAAAATTAAATGTTTGGTTCATTCTGATTTTTCTCCTTCTCTGTATCGTTGCATATTTCAAGTTAGGAAGTTCAAATGTTCGGTTCAAATGATTTCGTTTTGTGTATTGTTTTGGTTTACTGCTTTTTTGTTGTTCATCATATGAGTTTCAGTTTGCATTTTCGTTCCCGTTAATTGTGATTCATGTTGTTTCAAGTTTACTTTTGTTGTTAATATTGTTGTCTCCTTGCTCATTTATTTTTTGTCTAAGTTAACCAGGATTGGTTCCCAATATGGTTAACTTATTCCCATTAATTTGATGTTGTTCATCATTTAGTTTGAATTTGTTTAGAAATTGGTCATATTTGTTGTATTTTGGTTGAGATCGATTAGGTGAATTGGTTATAGCTGATGGGATAGTTTGGTAAATTGCAGTACGTTCAGGGGTAAATTGGTAATTTCAGTAAAGTCGGAGGGGTATTTTTGGAATTGAACATTTGAACAATTGTTTAATCTGAATGCTTTGTCCACTAGGCATTAACAATATTAAAATAATACATTGTGGGGGACAAGACATAAATTAGTGGGGATGTGATATAATTGTTTAATATAATAGGGGACAAGACATAATGTAGTGGGGGGAATAATGTAATTATTTATGTTAAGCATGAGGGACAAGATATAATGGGGTGGG